ATCGTCTTTCTAGTTCCTGATTTTCTTCTACCAAACGATAATGACACTCACAATCACTTTGCAATGTTTAGATTAATATTGTTTAAAAATATATAAACAAACATTTGATATCAACTAAGTATAAATTTTAAATAGTGAAAATATCAAATATAAATAAGTCTAAGTTAGGTATTAAAGTAAAAGATGAGAACAAGTTTAAACACTTATTTATAATTTATGCAAAAAAAAATTTTAAAAAAAATAATCCAACCCGACAAACTTGACTCAATTTTAAATGAAAAATCGAACACTATTGTTTACCTCAACTAATCTCCAAACATGATCAAAAGTAGTTTAGGTCACTTGTAGGAAGGTGTTCGGATTGGCTACCCGACCTCTTTTAGGAAGGTGTTCGGATTGACTACCTACTTTTCAAATCGAATAATATAGGAAAAATTACGCAAAATGGAAAATGTGTCGAGTATATTATGTAATATAGCTATAGTTTTAAATATTTTTAATCTGTGGCTGCAATTTCGTGAAATTTTGTTATTCAATTTCCCAATTGTTTAAATTCAAAATTTATATAAATCGGTCTCTGATTGTATAAATTCAATATAGTTTGGTTCTTGATTTATAAAATCAAGAACTTTTATATGCTTACCCTAGCTATTTGTATACGATTTATGGAAAAAAACATAATAAATTACCTTATTTGTATATTGGCAAGTGATATATACAAACGAGTTCTGAAAATACTCCTAAAATGTATATACTTACCTTGTTTGTATATTTACCAGAGAAAGCAACACCACTTAATACCATTTTTTGTAGAAACTCGGAAAAATTATAAGGGAATTTGAGAGCCAAAGGCTCCAACTAACCTCCAATGACCCCGCCAAATCTACTCTATGCATGCTAGCGAATTTCTTCAAGTCAATCTTTTCAATAATATGTTGGTCAGCCCTTTATTGACATATTTAAAAGATATGTCAAATTTAAAAATCTCTCCTCTTTGTGGTGTTCTTATTGCTTTTATAGGTAGATTGATGGGAGATGTCTCAGGTGAAACAGGCCATCCCATGGATAATGGTCACATATTCTTTTTCCAAATGACCTTAAATATTATTGTAATTTAAATGAACAAACTGATATTATGTTAGCTGCCTAAATTGGATTATGCCAGAACATACAACAGACCTACTAAGTTGTTGGGTCAGAAGGGGAGGTAGTAAGAGCCAGATGAGGTGGTGGAGAACAGTATCTGAATGTATCTGGTGGATCATTTGGAAGGAGAGGAATCAGAGAATTTTTGTAGGGAAAGAATGCACTATAGAGAAGATTAAGTGGAAAGTAATTACCACTTTAGGTTTTGATGTAAAGAAATGAACATAGAAGAAGAAATTCAACTAGTGGATTTCATAGGAGCTTTGTAAGTAGTCCTATTTTCTTTTCTTTTTTGTTGGTTTTTCTATGTAACTAACACTTTTGGAGGTGGCCAGCATAGCCCTTAATGCTGAGGAATACAAAGTTACATGTTTCAAAAAATAAATAAATATTATGTTAGCTGCTTTCTCACTTTGTCAATGAGATTCTCTAAATGTCAAGACCCTATTTAGCCCTTGTCTTTTTTCTTTCTTTTGGTAGATTGGTATAATTGATCCGAACAACAGATTGATTGGGCTCCATCTCTATGATGGACTGTTTAAGGTATTGCCTTATGAGACTAAAATAATTTGCTAGTTTGGTCTTTTTATCATAGGGTGCAATGTTTGTTTGATTTATGGGACCTGAACTTCATTATCAACAGGTTATTCTTTGACTTATAGCTCATTACTTTGTGGTTTTTGTAAGGTTTGAGTCTCAAGCTTTGGACATGAAATTCTTGTACGGTTGCCCAATGCCTACCGTTGTTGTCCTATATCAAGTGTGATTTTAAATAATATTGTTATAATTATGCTTAATTTACGATTTTCTTAATTTCGTTTAGGTAGATGGCTTTTTCATTTTAATTACTTGATTTTAATGCTTGTTAACTAACAGGATAGTGAAAAACTCGACATGTCAGGAAATATGTCATTCCCTTGGAGAATGACCCTATTATTGGAAGTCATGATCTGAATAATCTTTGATAGTGGATCGTATTTGCTAATACCCATGTCTCTGCCACCATATGATGTACTTATTATTGGAGAAGAAATGATTGCTTACTGCGACACTTCAGCTGCTAAGGATACTTACCAAATTGGAGAGGGCTTACCAGTATAATTTACTACTCTCATTGTCCCAATTTATATTACTCACTTTCCTTTTAAGTCAGTCATAAAAGAATGGCATGTTTCTATATTTGGTCACATTTAAACTTTTGAATGCTCATTTTACCTTTAATAAAATGATTTATAACATACAAATATCTATGCCTTGTTTTAGATCACAAGTTTTACTAGTCTTTCTTTCTTAAACTCCGTACCGAATCAACTACTTCACATAAATTGGAATAGAGGAAGTAATTAAATTCTGATTGTCTTACTAATATTTTATTTATTCATTCATTCAAGTCTATAAGAGCATATGATCAAGTTGGCGCTAATCAATATGTGCTTGGGGATCATAATAAGGTTCTTCACCATCTTGATATCACTCATAAAGAGAAGAAGTAAGTCTATTGATAAACATTTGCTTGTATGTTTGGTTAGTTTTTAGGAATAAGGCATTTAATGATACATTCTATTTTTTTTCCAGATTTACTTGACTAACAATCAAGTTGGGAGAAACTTCTATTCCATCGACCATTTCATATCTATGTGACACTTTTGTCTATATTGGCTCAAGCTATGGAGATTCACAGGTACTTTAAACCGTTTACTTAAAATTTAAGCTAATGGGAAACTTTATCCTCGAGTATGGTTGCTTGTTTCATCTTGTGATTTAAAAGGTGATAGCTCCATGGACACAGATGAGGCTATAGAATCCTTAAGAAGACCGTCAAGGTCTCAAGATAAGGAGTTGCAAGCCAAGATTGTTGGGCTTCAATGGGAAATTAAGAAGATGCTTATCATCAAAGGAAAGCCCACAAATGAGTCTAAGAATTGTGAAGAAGAATGGAGTAAGTGCTACACATATTTTATGGTTCAAGTTCAAGCCCAAATGGAAGAAGATTGGGCCACACAAAGCCAACCAAAAGAGCCCAAAGAGCTGAATGGTTGAAGTCAAAGTTTCCTAGTTTAAAAACTTCTTTATTTTAAAAGTTTCCTAGTTTTGAAAGTTTTCCTAGTTTAAAGTTTCCATAAAAGTAGGATTCCCATTATATTTGGGATATGTTTTCCCTATATATAGGGATTGATTTTATTATTATGAACAGACAACATTATTATTAATTGAGAGTTCTCTTATTTACACATTTGTGTGTGGCTACTTGGAATTTATCTTACAACCTTATAAGAACGATTCTTAAGAGGTGAGATTAATTCTTTAACTTGATATCTTTGGTTCTTATTCGTAAATTAAAGAAGGTGATTAGTCTTATACTAATTATTGTCTCTAGTTTCTTCGTAATAGGGGTCTAGATCACTTTTGATTTAAGTTTTTGAATTGACTCTATTAGTATCATAATTAGTCTTAATCCGCTAATTTTGAATACTAAGATCAATTAGGGTTCTTAGTATTTTATTTTGACATTGGAGATTTTAATCTTGAATTTCACATATCTTTTCAATTTCTGTCTTCAATCTTTATAATTTCGCTTCCGCATTATTTTCTTGTTTATTCTGTTAACCCGAATCTTATCAAGTGGTATCAGAGCGGTTCTATCAAGGTTCCGTTCTTGATAATCTTGATAGTTTAAAAAAAAATCTTTTCTAATTGATTAAAAGTTCAGCAAAAAAAATAATAATTCTAGTTGCTTAAAAGTTTTAAAAAAAAAATTACCAAAAAAAAAACGAAAATTATATATATAAAAAAAGGAAGAAAATACAATCACTTATTTCAAGAAACTTCATATTTGTTTTTATTCTTGAATTTTTTTTATTCAAAAAGGAAAAATCAAGAAGAGCGGAAATTTGAAGTTCTTTTTTCTTTTGTTTCACAAAGTGGTCTTTTTCTTGTCTCATCAATCCCAATTTATCTGGAATTGATAAAAAATTTCTTTCTACATCTTACTTCTAAAAGGATTGTTACTAGTAGGGTTTATATATAAATTCTAAAGAAACAAGTCAAAGGTTGTAGTTTGAGTGGAAAAAGACAAGAGAGGGTGAGCTCAATGAAGAGAAAAGAAAAGCCAAATTGAGAGATAATTGTTTCTTTTATTTTTATTTTTTTGAGACGTCTCTAACAGGAAAAGATGATGAAATTGGGACTCAAAACGATGAATTAATGAAGGCGCTCCAAATGATTATTGCCCGACTTGATGCGTTAGAGATTGCACAAAAGCCATATAATCCAGTAAACATGACCGATGTGAGGAGAATCCATTAAAACCTGATCCCTCAAGTTAGAAGACAAGTTTTTCGAGCTCCTCAAGTCCCGCAAACTGAGGATCAATTTGGTGATTATGGAGATGAATTTAAAGAAGCTTACCAACAGAGAAACGAAAGGAGGGCGCCACGAGTTAGGGTTGAGGATGACAATCTTAGTAGCATTAAGATGAAGATTCCTACTTTCAAGGGGACTAGAGATCTAGACTTGTATCTTGATTGGGAGAGGAAAGTGGAGGCCATCGTTGATTGTCATAACTACTCTGAAGGTAAGAAGGTTAAACTTGTTGTGGTTGAATTTTCTGATCATGCTGCTAGTTGGTGGAAGAACTTTTGCAGAGACAGAATAGACAATGGAGTACTACCCGTTGCGATAAGGAACGAGATGAAGAGGGTTATGAGAAAACGTTTTGTTTCATCACACTTCCAAAGAGATCTACAAAAACACCTTCAAACTCTGAAGTAAGGTTCGATGTTTGTGGATGATTATTTCAAGGCTATGGATATGGCTATGATCCAAGCTAATTGTAATGAGGATGCAGAGGCACTATGGCAAGATTTCTTAATGGTTTAAATAGAGAAATAGTTGATGTAGTAGAATTGCAACAATATGTGAATTTAGATGAATTGGTTGAGTTGGCTATAAAAGTAGAAAAACAAAATAAAAGGAAGCAACAAGCTAGTTCATGGAAGAATCGATCTACTACAACTCTAAGGAAGCCATGGCCAACACATGAGGAGAAATCTATGCCTATATCACAAAATGAAGTGGGAAAAGGTAAATGGGAGGCCAAAGATGGAGGTAAGACTTTTAACACAAACGGGTTATGTCCTGGATTGGATTTGGTTGGAAAGGAAATTTTAGGCGGGGTAGAGTCACTTCCTCGTTCTGTGCTAATGTGTTCCTTCAACAGGGTATGTCCTTTATCCTATTAGTATTCCTGTAGGCCTAAACATTGTATTTTGGTCTAATTTGCTCTTTCTTTCAGAGATCTTATTTGTTCTGTAGCCTGGCTGATGGCCATCTCATGCATTTTGAATTGAACATGGTTACTGGGCAGCTGAAAGGTAGTGAGCTGTTAGGCAAGAAAAAACTTTCTCTTGGGACCCAACCCGTAACACTTTGTGCTTTCTTATTTAATGAAGCTACACGCATTTTTGCGTCCTCCAACACTTCAATGGCTATCTACAACAGCATATTTTGTTGTGAAGTGAATAACCTGAATGATGTTAGGCTTATGTCCCCATACCGTGTTGAAGCTTTTCCAAATAGGTAAGTTGTTCCTTTTCCTCATTTTTATTGGTAGCATTGTGTCTTGACTTAAACTTTAATTGTGGTACTCTATTGAAAATTTTGATTTATTATCCATTGTCAACAGCTTTGCAATTGCTAAAGGATAAAGGAGATCAGTTGGCAATATGCAATATTGATGAAAGACAAAAGCTTCACATCATTCATTCAGAACACCTTGGGGAGCGTGTTGCCACGGACTTCTTACTCACTATTCTTGCAAGGTCTTGTAAGCTCAAGTAAGCCTTTTGAAGCTAGACCACTAAGAGAATTCAAAGAAAGACTTAGAGAATTTTGGAAGAAGGTTTTATATTGCTTGGAAGATTGCTTACAACTTTCTTTCTTGATGCTTGCTTCAAGCTTGGATGATTTACAAATGAGAGGTCCTTCTATTTATACTACTTCCTAAGGGCCTCAGTGCAAATAAAAATTACTTTACAAGTCCCTCTAATAATTACACTTTGGTCCCTCTCTAGAACTCTCTACATATTCTAGGATATTCCAAAATATTCTTAAAATATCTAAAGGTTTCTAGAGTATTCTAAGGAAATTCTCTAGGAAGTTCTAGAATGTTCTACTAACCTCCCCACAACTCTAGAATCTTCTCCCTTATTCCGGTGCCGAATTTAAACTGTGAAGTGACGGGACAAGACAGTGCGCTCCACATCAGTCATCAAGAGCAGTCCCACACCATTGCCATATGCACCGTAAAGCGTGATGACAAAGATGACATGGTCTCACTTGTTCAACTATTTGATGACCAAACATGTCATAGGAAATGGACTTACAAACTTAAAGAATTTGAGCATAGTTGCTCCCTGATTAGCTGTTCATTTTCTGAGGACGATAATGTGTATTATTGTGTTGGGACTGCTTATTTGAAGCTGGACGCAAATGAATGTACCAAGGTTCATGAGTAATGTACCATCATGAAAATGGTTCTAAACTATTTTCACACGTAGTGGCTTTTAATTCATGAGTAATTTGCAGGGCCGAATATTAGTTTTACAAGTTGTACAGGGTAGCAAACTCCATCTAGTTGCAGAAATGGAAACTGATGGAGCTGTCTACTGCCTGAATGCCTTCACTGGTAAACTTCTTGCTGCGATCAATCAGAATATCAAGTTGTACAAGTGGGCATCCCTTAAGAGTTGCCGAGGCCGAGAATTGAAGCCTGGATGTCTATATTGGGGTAGTGTCCTGTCTCGTTTTATTCAAACGCATGGTGATGCGATGAGGTCTATATCTCTCCTACGTTTGAAGGTACTCGTTGTAATTATATATCTTAAAAAATAAGATAATAGCAATGTTGATTAAAGAAGTTTGAAACCGTAACCTTCACATAGTTCTTCAGCATAAAACCATCTAGACTACGTGCATTCTTTGTTTAAGTAGTATCACTTATAATATATAACCGTTATATCTGCTTTTATTTCTTAATTGTATATACCTTTTAGTAAATTTTTTCGAGAAGCAGTATCACGTGACACTCCTTCTACCTTCGTAAATCCGCCCCCGAAAGAAGTGTCACATCTTCTCTGTATTCAACTTTATATATATATATATATATAGAGAGAGAGAGAGAGAGTCTGAGGTATTATGCTATATGTTTCCTTAGGCCTCAAGCTTTGGAAATTCTTGTTATCCGGAAAATTCTCTCCCTTTTGATGTAAAACTACTTGCACAAATTTTTAAACAATAAGAATGACACAAACCAGCATTGCAATTTTATGAGACATAAAAAGCGCTTCCATCATTCAATGTGGCGTGGATTTTACCATCTGAACATAGCAGCCGACTATCTGTTGGTCTAACTTGTAGTAGTACTCCATCCTCTCCAAAGGTTTCAAATCCAGGTCAATGAAATATGCCTATTGATGAGCAGCAAACAAAAAGCTATAAGTGCCTTAGTTGAAAGATGCACTATATTTCATTAATTGGCAATCACAGTTTTTTCACATAATGTTGTGTGTTTATTTTTATATTTCTGCATTAGTACGGAACTCAACTGTGCTTTGCACTTTAAGTTTCACCCAAGGTCATACATTTTTCTATGCATTTCAGCTTTGAAAACGCGTATGACAATAGACTAACAATTTTAAAAAAAATTTAGGCAAATCAACTGAGGTGTGCACACAACAATTTGCAGGTACAACAAGTTTACTGCCTCCATAAGTTCACATTTCTTCTTTTACATAGGATAAAACACTACTTCAATGAAAAGGAGATTAGATAGAGATATTTTTCATCGTGAAATATATTATTCAAGAACGCGAAAGGAGTTGGGAAAAGGGAATAATACCTTATAATCAAAACTTTGGTTGGTTGATTCTAAGGAAACCATGCTATATGGAGATTCCACACTCCCATCTTCTCGAGGTCTAAAACTAATCATCATGCTCAGGTCCTTTGCAGTTGCAGCAATCAAGTAATTCCTCACAATCTTCATGCTTTCATCGTTCAAGATTGAATGCAAAGAACTGTATCTTTCTGACAATTGATCTTCAGCTGATTGTTTATTACATACCACACATGGTTGGGAAATGACATTGTAATATGCATGAATTGCACCTTCAATGTCAGCATTGTCTAACTTCTGGACTTCAAGAACCTTATTTAGCAGTCCTGAACTACAAATGGTCTTGGAAATGAGATCTAGGAAGCATTGGGTCCGCTGGCCATCTACAGCTTGAATAACACACTGCAGTGCATTTTCAAATGTTTCACCAACTTCACAGCTTGTAGCGTCTGCATTACCACCTAAACCCCCTAATATGAGAGAACCATTCAGGAAAACTCGGAAATTGTTTTGTGGGGTCTTGAAAAGGCCCTTTATTGCTTTGTGTACCCTATCATTGGATCCAGAAAACAAATCCAATGGATCATATGCACTTATCTCTGATATCTGATACAGCAGAAGCAACCCAAAGAAAATTTCAAAAAAAGGAGAAAATGATTTAAGAAAAAAGAAAAAGATCCAACATAAGCATAAAGCTAATATCTGTACATAATAAAAGGTAAACACTACTTTAACTTGACAAGGGAAAAGGGGGAAGTTTATCAAGTCCATGCTGCAACTGAATTAAGAAATCCACCAGACAGATAAAAAATCAATCACCTTTCCTTGGTGCAATTTTAAAGCCTGATGCATCTTGAAACGAGTTACACTCCTTTTAATACTGTTTTCTGATGCAATAAATTCCGAAAGCGGAAGAAATCCGCATTTAGGCTGGCTTCAGCAAAAGAAATGCAGACACTAATAAGAAAATTGTACTAAATAAACATAAAATTGTAAATTAAGAATGATTAAAGTGAAACAGCATGAAAATGATATTAAAGAAGAAAAACCAAATAAAGCTATGAAAAAGTACCTTTATTTCTACAGATATACAGAAGTCCTTTTTAAGTGCACCTGAAAGGAGAAAACAGGTATAATGAAATGTAAGCCAATTCGCCAAATCAAAATCTATATTGAGATTTTGTGCTAGGCCAATCAAAAGTCAAAACCATATAAAGTGAATTTTTCTTGTTTCTCTTTGTCAACAAATGAACTAAAACTGCAGTCAGCCTTGTTGATAAGTAGCATACTTAGAATAGCTGTAATGTATCTAGACAAGCCGTCATTAAACATTAGACTCTTTTTACTCTCAAACACACAGAGGTAATACCAGAGATATACCCAATCTCTTAAAACAAAGGTATAATGTGGAGGTTAATGCCTCAATTGCCTATTAGAAATACCAGACATGGTACATTTATCATTGTTGTTCACTCTTTATATTTTTGGATCTCATTATTATCATTAGCTTGATATTAAAACTAGTCTAGCAATATAAATACACGTTAAAACCATGGTAAGAAGCAACGGACAAAAAGGCGTAGTAAAATTATTACCACGCGGAAAAAGCGAATGATCAGATATCAGCAGTACAGAATCACATAGGGGGTTGACCATTGCGGCATCAACACGCCAAGAAGGACGCTGACATAGAACATTGTTATCAACTGTTTCCAGAAATTCTCGGGTCACAGGGATGTGAATCTGTCAAAATGGAAGAAAAAAGATGGCAGTATTTAACAATTTTGTTTCCATGTTGACAGAAAACCATATGCTAGGAATAACACAAATTTGCAATCTTTCATAACTTAAATCTAGAGGCCCATAGTTTAGCATAACTTGATCAATTAAGTTTTATCCTAGCAAACAGCAATGAACAAAAATTCGTCCTCTACAGAAGATCAGCTGCATAAGAAATGTCCTAGGATATAAGGGTGAAATGATAGGTTACATGAATATTGGTAATAAATTAGAACTTCTTGATGACATGCAGAATGCCTAATTATTATTACTACTCCACGTAGATTAAAGGTGTCCAGAAAGGGAGAATAAGTAAATTATTTTTCTCCATTTGCAGAGAAGAAAAGATGATTTCAGAAAAAACAGATCTAATACGAAACGATAAAAAATAGGTGGTATGTACAAGGCTAGCAACATACCCCTGCATCAACATTCTTTGAACCCAACAGTGAGCACATCACATGCTGCACAAAATTGTATTCAGCCATTTCTTTTGTAGGAGCTGATACCAGCTCTTTAAATTCTTTCCACATGAGGCATTCCAACTCGGTTAGACCTGGATGACCATTCTCACGTTGAGATCCATTCCTTGGTATCTTCTGTACCCTCAACACTTTTCCAACCTAGAAAAGATGCAGGAGAAGAGGATGCTACTGAGATATCAAAAAAAAAACCACTTTCTTTTGAACTAGTAACAATACTCCCTCCGTTTCAATTTGGTTGTCTTACTTTCCTTTTTAGTCCGTTTCAAAAAGAATGTCTCTTTCCTTTATTGACATCTCTTTAATTCTAACTCTCCACACGACATGTTTAAGACAACAAGATTAAGGAACATTTTGGTACATTGTACATCTCTTTAGTTTAAGACCACAAGATTCAAAAGTCTTCTTTACTTTGTTAAAGTAAACTCCATGACAGTTTTCCCAAGTCAAAACCAATCAAACAAATTGAAACGGAGGGAGTAGCATGTTTTCCAGATCAGATCTCTCTTTCTTCTGGTAGCATTTGAAGGCAAGAAAGGTCGAACTCATTCCTCATCGGGTTACTCTTACTATGCTATTGTTGAGGTCAATAATTTGTTAAAGAAACAGTGAATTCCAAGGAGGAATACAATGACATTTAGCACTAGTGCACTCTTTTAGTAGGATCTTTTCGTTTAATTTTTTTAGATAACTTGAGAGCCAAATTGTCTACTACTTTTATTAGACACTCCATCATTAACTTCTTCGAGTCTGAAAACAACACCTTCATGAGATGATGCACCCCCAAAGAATCAGATCATTATGCAGCTTATGTAAAGCACAATTCATTTCCAGTATCTTTTTCATTTAATCTTTCAATTTTTATTATCTCCTTTTCTGGTTCCAAGGGATCTAGCTAATTGATTGAGGCATGAGAGATACAATCTGAAATTATCAGGAATACACTGAAAAACACGATACAACAACAACAACATACTCAGTATAGTCCCACAAGTGGGATCCACGCAGTATAGTCCCACAAGTGGGATCCACGGAGGGTAAAATGTTCCCAAACCTCACCCCTACCTTGTTAAGTAGAGAGACGGTTTCCGACAGACTCTCAACCCAAAATAAACAAAAACACAATATTTACGGAGACATAAGCAGTAACAATAACCTAGATACTTTCCCTAAAAAAAAAAAGAAGATGAAATTCCATATTCTTATCTACTAGAATCTTCTCTATTCCCTGAAATTGATCAAAATTAATTTCAATTCGTTCAACAATTCACCAAAGACAAACTACAACTATTCGAATATAAGTATAAGAAAGATAAAAATCATACAAAATCAGGATGTTCTCCACTATAAGCAAGCACTAGATTGACAGCTCCTTCTCCTCTATAACACCATTCTCGAGCATCATTCGCCTGCAAAACCATCGCCATCTGCTAATCCTGGTAATTAACAACAACAACAAATAACACAATTTGTAAATATAATTACTGATTCAGTGAGTTAGTAATCAACAAATCGCCATTAAACCTGAGTTATTCGAAGCTCTCTCAGTTGTCACGTCGAGTCCGGTTTCGATACGCTACAGTTTAGCCTATATTATATAACATGTGCTCACTTATCTTCAAATCCGAACCTTTGAGGGTCCATCCCATTAAGTATTAATTTTTATTTCTTCAATTAATATAATAAAAAATCAATTTCTACGTATTATAATATTTCATTAGGATATAGAGTGGAAT